ATATATATATATATATATATGTGTGTATATATGTGTGTGTGTGTGTGTGTGTGTGTGTGTGTGTGTGTGTGTGTGTGTGTGTGTGTGTATATATATATAGAGGGAGAGAGAGAATTGGCAGATTAGTCACTGATCGCCGTAATATGTAATTACATATCAAATACAAATATTAAAAGTTGATTTAGCCTTAAAAACTGACGAGACAGTCCGCATGACAAGGTTAGATCATTTTGGTACAAATTAGAGTGGATGAAATATATTTTCTTATCAAGTGTAAAGCTGTTTTACTCGACGTGTTGTCACACGACAACAAGCAAGTGAACGAAGAAAGAGATACAAAGTGAGCGCTTATACAGTTCTACATCAAGAAAGTAGTCTATCTTGGAAGATAAAATAGCCAATCTTTTCTTATATAATTTTAAAATTTTAAAAATATTAATAAATTTTCTTATATAATCTTAAAATTCTAAAAATATATCCTAAAGTTTTAAATTAAAATTTGAAGAATTAGTGAAAATACAAATTAATGCGCAGATAAAATTTTATAATTTCATTTTTTATAAGTTTTATTATTACGAAACATTCTATGAGTTCTACTGAAGGCTTCCTAATAATACAAATATATTTTTTGCAAATGAAGTATTAGGAAACAGTTAGGCACATTATTACAAATTTTTTTTGATAATAAAATGGAATATGAAAATGTGAAATGTTCTAATCATTTATAGAATCGTTCTTTTATTTTGTTTCTGTTCTTATTTCTGTTTTTAAAAATAAAAGAAATTTTTATTAAAAATTGCCAAATGTGTATTAAAAAAATCATTTACAGATATATATATATATACAATACATTAAAATTCAATATCTTTTAATTTAAAAATTAATTATTATCTTATAGGAACGGATATTTTCGAAAAGAGTTCAAGTAAATATTTGCTTCCTCTTTTCTGCTTCAAGTATCTCGATTTACCATCTTATTATTACTTCATTATTTGGAATATAATGTTAGCATTGTTCATAAATCGCTCTAAAATATTTATTTTTAGGATAAAACTTTACTAAAGTCGCAGATTGCTTAGATGATTAAATTTTAAAGTTTTTTCTTTAACTTTCCTCATCATTATTTTAAAAATATTTTTCTCGAGTTTTCTCGATGATCTTACAGTTTATTTTTATTCCATATATAAACTAATGAAAATTGAGATACTTAATATTGCTTGAATCTTTTTAAATAATTATAACGGCCGTTATCACTATCACCAGGAAGACAGGATATTTTTTTAATGCGTCAATATTGTATAACAAAAATGACTATTTTTATGACTTATAAAAATTCAGTTATATTCTCAAAACATCAATAAATATATACAAATATGTATAAAGCTAGGAACCGCGTGATAGCATTTATAATTATTTCTTTAAAAAAATCTTAAAAATCTCGAGTGCAAGATAGACTGCCCCTTAATGCTTGTAAATATCTATTATTGCCTGATTAAATTAATCGAAGAACTATATGGAAGAATATATATATATATATAAATAAATATTAAGTTATGTAATTATATTCATAATATACGATAAACACGATATTCTTGAGAATATGAACTTATGCGACATTACTCGATGCCACTCATCAAGCCGTTTTATTTGACTCTTTTATTGACGAACAATATTTTTATATACAGGATTTTTATATACAGATGGCTGAATGTTTTGGCAGACTTCAAAATATATTTAGGATACTTTTTGTTCAGAATTAAATTTCCTATAAAATTTCGAAATCTGGCCAAAACATTTGAGGCCATCCTGTATATAAAAATATTGTTCGTTCCATTCGGAATAAGATAGAAGTAATAAGATAGAAGCGACAATATCCTACGAAATTGAATATGGAGTCAAAATACTTGACAGTTTCTTTCAAACCCATAAATCTAATCGAACCGATCTCTAAGTCTCTTTTCAGACAAAATACGTGTCTAGAAGACAACAACTTTTAAAGACATTTTGAGGACGTTTTATCTTCCATTAGCCATATATATGAATTTTGCACTTTCCATTAATTTTGTTTTTTGTTGGTTTTTTAATTTTTGTGCAAATTTTTGTATTGTTTGAATTGTGTAAAAATCTGAAAAAATGGTTGTATATTCGACAGTTTTACTGTCATAGAAGTCAGATATCTTTCTTATTTTTTACATATTTATAAATCGATCTACCAAAATTCGCAATCAAAAAATCGACTATATCTTCAAAGATAGCTTCCAACTTGTCGATGGAGAATTTTATGTACTTGTAAAAGCTTTAACTATGAATTTTTATTAATGGAAGTCGGATTTTGCATTTTATTTATTTTTCATACATTTAAAAGTATATCATAATAAAAAAAATCTATTATTCCTTCAAAACTTCTAACTTGGCTAACGGAAGATTAAACATACATATTGTCTGAATGAGTTGCACCAAGCTCCGATTTAAATTATTAGATATAAAAGCTTCAGCACTCGAGCAATCTGTTGGATATGTTGTGCTAAAGACAGTAACAATACAAACGCATGTTGAATTCATCCACACAGGCACTCTGAGTGCCATAAGCATTCAGCCTACTGACCGATCCAGCCAATTTGCGGCTGTTATCGTCTGCTTTATAGCGTATTGTACCCTCAAAGATCGCATCACCTGGGATGGTTTGTATGATCACTGTGTAATCCACCAGCGTCGCCCCTTCCGTCTTATCCTGCCACATCTTCGCATCTTTGATCATTTTTAAGTTCAAGGTTGCGCACATTGGATATCTGCTTAACATGCCATTCAGTTCTCTAACGAGGAATGATACACTATCATGTAAGCCGGTGTCGTTCCACGCGACCGTATTACTGGTATGGCACATGCACCAATGATTCGCAATGTGCGCCATGTCGCAGGTACGAATGTCTGGTACTGGTAGGAACCAACTGATGCCACGTGGGATGCCAGGCGAAGCGGCTTGAATTTTAATGCGCTTCTTAAGAAATGACTCTCGCAAAAATTGCGGATTCAGCAAATCCATTAACGTTTCATGAAGATCGAAAGGCGTCGTGAGACTGTGGCTGTTCCTTCGCAAATTTCCCCAAGCCAGAGGAAACTTTTCGCGCCACCATCTCGGTAGCACGATAAAGACGAAAGGTAGACTATCCTCAATCTTTCCCTGATACGTTTGTCGGAAATCGCCCCATCTCATACCATGATCGCTCATCATGATTAAGATTGTGCGATTCAGCAGACCCTCTCGTGACACATACTCGACGAACTCGTGGTAAGAATTGTCACCCAACTGAGGATACGTGAAATAATCGTGGGTGAGACTTGCCTGCCAAATGAAGGCGAAGTAAAGTTCCGAGGAGAACTCAATCGCTGTTTTGCGTGTGTAATCCAGCATGCATTCAAATGTCTTCCTGGTACCGAGGCAAAGATTGGCGTTCAGTTTATGGGTGTTACCAATGTCATTCTCAGCACCGATGCAATATGGTCTCAGATAATAATCTGTCGGTTGTTCGCGAAATCCTGGTTTCAGGTAATTGAACGTGGTCATGCTACAAGCATCCTCGCCGAATACTGTGCGGTAACCAGCATCACTGAAGTTCTTCCACAAAAGCGGGCATTCGTCGAAAGTTTTATTAGGCATTTGCCAACACAGATCCCGCAATTCCTCCTGATTCAGACCACTTAATACCGGGACGAGATTTGGGTATGTGTTATCAGCGACCTTGGTGTAGCCCAACATTTCTACGGCACCGAGAGACTGAAGTGATTTTACAGTCTTCGGCATCATTCTGTGAAAATTCATCCTGGAAACCGAATCGAGCCCGACAATGAGAACGCTGAGACGATCGTCGATCAGCGTATCCATTCTCAGTGTTTGTCTGCATCTTTCCTCTATCGAAGGCTTACGAGGTAGGAAAGCGTAGTAATCTTTGTATACCATTTCGTTATTTTGATAACATTCAACTTTTACGAATTCAACATTCACTGTGCAAGAATCTTGGAAAGGATAGCACTGTGTGTCATATCTGTAAAATTTTATTATCTAATTTAAAGTCATCTGTATAACAAATCTATCCTACAAATAATATACAAGATATATCAGATCACCTGTATTATCTTTTTTTCTCGGAAATGTGATTGGAAAGTGGAGAAAAAATTTTCATTATCAGAGCTTATTTGACCTGATTAAATTTTTGGTTTTCCGGAAATATAAATCTGGATCAAATTTGAAACCTGGGTGAAATTTGTAATGGAAACATATATAAGTCGAGTTATCATTAAATAATTATCATTAAATAGATCTTTTAAAAATAAACAAATTAATTTAATTTAATTCCATTATTATTAAACTTTTGTTTAATAATAATGAAATTAAAACTAATGAATTATAGATCTTTATATATATATA